AAAAATCTTTTGACAAGTCCAATACCCATTTATGATAAAATCCCTCCAGAAAGTGAACATAAAGGGAATCTACCTCAACATAATAAAGGCCATATAAAGCAAACCACAGCTAACATTATCCTAGGTGGTGAAAAGCAGAACTTGCCCTGTAATAAGGAAAGGATGTCCTTTGTCATCATTTTCATTCAACAAAGTTTTGGTAGTCCTAGCCATAACAATCTGTTGCTCATATCAGGAAGTTTCCATAAGCCTCTTATCCTTATTCATCAGAAGGCAGACAGAAAGAAAACCACAATCACAGAAAACTAACCAAAGTGATCACATGACCCACAGCCTTGTCTAACTCAATGAAATTAGGAGTACAGCGTTTAGAGCTACCCAAGATGGAGGGATCATGGTGAAGAGTTCTGACAAAATGTGGTCCACTGGAGAAAGGAACAGCAAACCACTTCAGAATTCTTGCCTTGAGAACTCCATGAACAGTATGGAAAGGCAAAAAGATAGGACATTGAAAGATGAACTCCCAGGTTGGTAGATGTCCAATATACTACTGGAGAAAAGTGGGTATATAACTCCAGGAAGAATAAAGAGATGGAGCCAAAGCAAAATGTCTAGTTGTGGATGTGACTGGCGATGGAAGTAAAGTCTGATGCTGTAAAGACCAATATTGCATAGGAACCGGGAATGTTAGGTCCATGAATGAAGGCAAATTGAAAGTGGTCAAACAGGAGATGGCGAGTGAACATCAACATTTTAGGAATCAGTGAACTAACATTGACTGGAGGTGCAAATTTAATTCAGATGACCATTATATATACTACTGGGGGCAGAATCCCTTAGAAGAAATGGAGTAGCCATCATAGACAACAAAAGAGTCTAAAATGCAGTGCTTGGGTGCAATCTCAAAAATTACAGAATGATCTCTGTTCATTTCCAATGCAAACCACTCAATATCACAGTAATCCAAGCCTATGCCCCAACCACTAATGCCAAGAAGATGAAGTTGAAAAGCTCTCTGATAACCTATAAGATATAGGTTATGTGATATGATATCTTATCTTATAAAATATATTATATGATGTTATATATGATATATGATATCATATCTTATCTTATGATATCATATATCATATAAGATATATGACAACTTTTAGAACTAACACCAAAAAAAAAAAAAAACGATGTCCTCTTCATAGGAGACTTGAATGCAAAAGTAGGAAGTCAAGAGATACCAGGAGTAACAGGCAAGTTTGGCCTTGGAGTCGAAAATGAAGCAGGGCAAATGCTAACAGAGTTTTGCCAAGAGAATGCACTGGTCATAGCAAACACCCTCTTCCAACAACACAACAGATGACTCTACACATGGACCTCACCAGATGGTCAATACCAAAATCAGATTAATTATATTCTTTGCAGTCAAAGATGGAGAAGCTCTATTGAGTCAGAAAAAAACAAAACTGGGAGGTGACTGTGGCTCAGATCACAAACTCCTTATTGCAGAATTCAGACTTAAATTGAGGAAAGTAGGGAAAACCACTAGACCATTCATCATCCTTATGATTATACAGTGAAAGTGACAAATAGGTTCAAGGGATTAGATCTAATAGACAGAGTGCCTGAAAAACTATGGAAGTGTACAGGGAGGCAGTGATCAAGGCCATTCCCAAGAAAGAGAATGGCAAAAAGGCAAAATGGTTGTCTGAGAAGGCCTTACAAATAGTTGAGGTTAGAAGAGAAGATGATGACTGCAGCCATGAAATTAAAGGACACTTGCTCCTTGGGAGAAAAGTTATGACCAACCTAAACAGCATATTAAAAAGCAGAGACAGTACTTTGCCAACAAAGGTCCGTCTAGTCAAAGCTATGGTTTTTCCAGTAGTCATGTATGAATGTGAGAGCTGGACCATAAAGAAAGCTGAGTGCTGAAGAAATGCTGCTTTTGAACTGTGGTTTTAGAGAAGACTCTTGAGAGTCCCTTGGACTTCAAGGAGATCAAACCAGTCAATCCTAAAGGAAATTAGTCCTGAATATTCATTGGAAGGACTGGTGCTGAAGCTGAAGCTCGAATACTTTGACCACCTGATGTGAAGAGCCAACTCTTTAGAAAAGACCCTGATGCTGGAAAAGACTGAAGGCTGGATGAGAAGTGGATGACAGAAGATGAGATGATTGGATGGCATCACCAACTCTATGGACATGAGTTTGAACAAGCTCCAGGAGTTGATGATGGACTGGGAAGCCTGGTGTGCTGCAGTCCACGGAGTCTCAAAGAGGTGGATATGACTGAGTGACTGAACTGAACTGAAGTGAGTCATAGCAATCAGAGGGGAAAAAAGAAATAAAAGAATGTAAAATGGAAAAGAGGAGTAACCTGTAACTATTAGTAGATAGTATGATACTATTCATAGAAAATCCTAAAGATCCCACCAGAAAACTACCAAAGCTAATCAGTCAGGTCAGTACCATTGCAGGACTCAAATTAATACAAATAAATCTCTTTTTGTATACACTTTCATTCCTATACACAAACAGTGAAGAAGATCACAAAGAGATATTAAGGAAACAATCCCATTTACTATTACATCAAAAAGAATTAAAATTTTCAAAACCTAGGAATAAATTTACCTAGGAGACATAAAAACCTCTCTGAAAACTCAAAGACACTGATGAAAGAAATTGAATATGACACAAAGAGATGTTCTTAGATTGTAAGAATCAATATTATCAAAATGTCTATACTACCTAAGGTAATCTACAGATTCAATGCAATCTTTATCATTATCAGTGACATTTTTCACAGAACCAGAAGTCTTTAAAATTTATATGGAAAAACAAAAGGCTACCAATAGCCAAAGCAATTCTGAGGAATAAAAATGGAGCTGGAGGAATCAGACTCCCTGACTTCAGACTATACTACAAAGCTAAATTAATCAAAATAGTATGTCACTGGCACTAAAACTGAAATATAGATCAACAGAGCAGGATAGAAATCCCAGAAATAAAATCACACCCCTATAATTAATTAATCTACAACAAAGTCGGCAAGAATATACAATGAAGAAACAGACATAGAGAACAGAGTTATGGACATGGGGGAGAGAGGAGGAGAGGGTGAGATGTATGGAGAGAGTAACATGGAAGCTTATGTTACCATATGCAACATAGACAGCCAATGGGAATTTGCTATATGGCTCAGGGAACTCAAACAGGATCGCTGTAACAACCTAGAGGGCTGGGAGGGGGAGGGAGATGGGAGCAAGGTTCAAGAGGGAGGAGATATATGTATACCTATGGCTGATTCATGTTGAGGTTTTACAGAAAACAACAAAATTCTGTAATGCAATTATTCTTTAATTAAAAAATAAATAAATGGAAAAAAAATGTTCTGCCTCATGCATAAATTCCCCCAAAATAATATATCTCAAATAATTTATCTGTACACTTTGAACAATTTTGTTAGATGACTGAAGAAAATCTGAAGACAAAAGCATAAATGTTAAGTATGCAGTGTATAGTTTAAATAAAATTTGACTATAAAGTGTGAAAATGGAAAAAATCTAAATTAGTACAATGCATATAAGAAAATCTAGGAACTTCCATGGTGGTCAGTGGTTAACACTCTGCACTTGCACTGCAGGGAGTGCAGTTTCGCTCCCTGGTCAGGGAACTAAGATTCTACCAGCTGGAGCAGTGGTCATAAATAAATAAGAAAATCTGAAATACGAATTTATAATTCAATTGATAAACTCAAATATTACAGGCAGATATTTTGACCAGTTCATTTACATTGTTAGAAGTTTGCATAGTCAGGTATCATTTAGAAATTAGGATTGTTTAAGTTAAATATAATAGTGACTTTGCAATTTATTACCCACACAAGGACATTCTTAAAGTGTAAGGGGAAGTATAAATAAGTAGATGAGGAAACAGATATAAACAGTAACTGACTCAACCAACCAACATACATGTTTATTCATGGTACATAGTCCTATTTATGCATTTTTCTTCTTAAGAGCTGAGGCTGTGTTATGCATCTTTATATACTCTGACTAGTAAGGTATTTGCCATATGATACACAGTTAAATGTTTAAACGAATAGAGAGAATAAAATAATTGTTTAATTAAAATAAAATACAGAGATTTGAGTTTTGACCCCCCCAAAAAACATCAGAATTTCATCCTTTCACTCCAGTTCTATAAATGTAGCCAAAACACCAATAGAAGGTGTTTTACTGACATGTTTCCTTGAAGACTAAATATTTATAAATTTGACTAAATGATTTTTGAGAAAGGATTGATTAAAAATAACAACAAATGAGAAAACCAAGTATAGATTATCCACAACGACTCCTTTTAAAATACACGAAGCAAAAATAAATAAATAAATAAATAAATAAAAATAAAATTACACGAAGCATAACTAAGGATTTCAAAAAATTATTTATCAAATTTATAGGAAATAAAGCCATTCACACTTGATGAGTTAGAATAGCTGAACTAAATAACCCATGATACTTATCTTATAGATTTAAGATGCCTGGTTTTTTCAAATGAAAGACAGTTTAGACTGGAAAAAGCCTGGAAATATGGAAATAAAGTTCGCAACAATAGAAAATATTAATAGGGTAATTAAAGGTCAGAAAATATGAGAAAAGGCTTGTAGCTTTGAGAAGGGCAGACAGCAGCTGACATGTAGAAGAACGATAAAGAAGCCAGTGTTTAGAAAAGCAGAGATTAAGTTCGTGAAATGGTACTTGACTGGCAGCTAGGAGGCTTTGTTTCCTTTCATCTTCATTCTGAATTAAATGTCTTGCCCTGCCCAGAGCCGCCCGATCTGCCTCTTCCCAGCCTGAGGCCTGGGTCCATCACTCTGAGGAAACACCTCCAGAAAGTTGGACAAGCGTTCTTACAAAGTTGCTGCCGTTAACTGGGCCATCTGGAGATGCAAGGTCCCAGACCTCACAGAGGATGAGACGCCAGGCCCGATGCGCTTGTGGGAGATGGCCTCCGCCCCCGAGCCATGCAAGTGCGTCCGGTTTGCCCACTGCCCCCACATGACCATGGAGACAGCTGTCTTCATCGAGACTCTCCTGACACTGTGTGTTGAGGTGCGGTGGTCCCCCTACAATTATATTCTCCACCCAGGATCATGCAGCAGCTGGAAGGCTGAAACAGATAAGGAGTATCTGAGGTGCATAGAGCAGACACTGTTCTTCAAGGATAGGCGGCTCAGCATGATTCTGGACGGTGGTGGGACCTCACCAACCTCATTCACACCAAGTACCTGCAGTTCTTGTCCAAGTCATTTCCAAAGAGACCACAACGGGGTCCACAACCTGTATAAGGTCATCGCACAGAGTCCTGAAGGTGCCTGCCATCAATGGTGATGGCTCCATCACCAAGGACAAGTTTGACAACCTCTCTGGCTGCCAGGAGCCCTTCATAGATGGCATCAAGTGGACCACAGACGATGATTATGGTGGTGGAAGCAGGCTATGGCAACGTGGGCAAGCGCTGTGCCCAGGCCCTGAGGGGGTTTGGGGCCACATCATCATCATGGAGATCTACACTATCAACACACTCCAGGAGGCGAGGGAGGGCTATGAGTGACCCCCAGCAATGAGGCCTGCCTGGAGTTCAGCATCTTTGTTACCACCATAGGCTGTATCAACAAAACTGTTGGCCTGCCCTTTAAAGAGATGAAAGATGATGTCATTGTGTGTGCAACTTTGACACTTCATGGACACTTTGACATGGAGATTGATGTCAAGTGTGCTGAATTAAAATGCTGTGGAGAAGGTGAACATTAAGACCTAGGTGGACTGCTACTTGTTGAAGAATGGGTGTTGCATCATCTTGCTCGCCAATGGCTGGCTGTCCAACCTGGGCTGAGGCATGGGTCATCCCAGCTTTGTGATGAGCTACCTCTTCACCAAGCAGGTGAGCTGTGGACCCACCCAGACAAGTACCCGATCAGAGTCCACTTCCTGCACAAGAAGCTAGATGAAGCAGTGGCTGAAGCCCCCTGGGCAAGCAGAATGTGAAGCTAACCAAGCTGACTGAGAAGGAGGCCTATTACCTGGGCATGTGCTGTGATGGCCCCTTCAAGCCTAATCACTACTGCTATTGGAAAGCAGACCTGCTCGTTGCCTTTGAGCTGCTGTCCTTGCCTGGGTCCCACTTCTCCTCCCTAAGAGCAAATGGAACCACCTTTGAGGTCGGTTTGATAATGTCTGTCATCAACGCCTTGGGACTAGTCAGTCAGTCTTTGGCCTCTGCTGCATCCCTCATGCAGTTCCAAGTGTGGCATGGGGAATTGAGAAGTCCCTCCTCAAGTCCTGGTCAGGATGGAGGTACGTTGGAGTTACCACGAAGAACCATGAGCTCAGGGGCTTTGGAACTGTTCACTCAGTCCTTTCTTCTCACCTAGAGCCAGACATCTTGGAGTGCGAAGTCAAGTGAGGCTTAGGAAGCATCACTACGAACAAAGTTAGTGGAGTGATGGAATTCCAACTGAGTATTTCAAATCCTAAAGGGTGATTCTGTGAAAGTGATACACTCAATATGTCAGCAAATTTGAAAAGTACAGCAGTGTCCACAGGAATGGAAAAGTTCAGTTTTCATTCCAATCCCAAAGAAGGGCCATGACAAAGAATGTTCAAACTACTGCACAATTGCACTCATCTCACAGGCTAGCAAAGGAATGCTGAAAATTCCCCAAGCTAGGCTTCAACAGTACATGAACTGAGAACTTCCAGATGTTCAAGATGGATTTAGAAAAGGCAGAGGAACCAGAAATCAAATTGCCAACATCTGTTGGATCATAGAAAAAGCAAGAGAGTTCCAGAAGAGCATCTACTTCTGCTTCATTGACTATGCTAAAGCCTTTGTGTGGACCACAAAAAACTGTGGAAAATTCTTCAAGAGGTGGGAATACCTGACCACCTTACCTGCCTCCTGTGAAACCTGTATGCAAGTCAAAAAGCAATAGTTAGAACTGGATATGAACAATGGACTGGTTCCAAATTGGGAAAGGAGTATATCAAGGTTGTATATTGTCATCCTCCTTATTTCACTTATATGTACAGTCCATAGAATTCTCCAGGTCAGCATACTGAAATGGGTAGCCTTTCCCTTCTCGAGGGGATCTTCCCAACCCAGGAATTGAACCCAGGTCTCCCAAATTGCAGGTGGATTCTTTACCAGGTGAGCCACAAGGTGAGCCCTATATGTAGAGTACATCATGCACAATGCCAGGTTGGATGAAGCACAAGCTGAAATCAAGATTGCTGGGAGAAGTATCCATAATCTCAGATATGCAGGTAACATCACCCTTATGGCAGAAAGCAAAGAATTAAAGTGCCTCTTGATGAAGTTGAGAGAGGAGGGTGTAAAAGCTGGTTTAAAACTCAACATTCAAATAACTAAGATAATGGCATCTGGTCCCATTACTTCATGTCAAATAGATGGGGAAGCAATGGAAACCGTGACAGTCTTTATTTTCTTGGGCTCCAAAATCTCTGCAGATGGTGATTGAAGCCTTGAAATTAAAAGACACTTGCTCCTTGACAAACCTTGACAGAATATTAAAAAGCAGAGGCATTATTTTGCCAACAAAGGTCTGTCTAATCAAAGCTATGGTTTTTCCAGTAGTCATGTATGAATGTGAGAGTTGGACATTAAAGAAGGTTGTGCAATGAAGAACTGATGCTTTTGAACTGTTGTGTTGGAGAAGACTCTTGAGAATCCCTTGGATGGCAGGGAGATCAACCAGTCCATCCTAAAGGAAATCAGTCCTAGGTGTTCATTGGAAGGACTGATGCTGAAGCTGAAGCTCCAATCCTTTGACCACCTGATGTGAAGAGCCAACTCTTTAGAAAAGACCTCGATTCTAGGAAAGATTGAAGGCAGGTGGAGAAGGGGATGACAGAGGACAAGATGGTTGGATGGCGTCACCAACAACATGGACACGAGTTTGAGCAAGCTCCGGGAGATGGTGAAGGACAGGGAAGCCTCGCATGCTGCAGTTCATGGGGTCGCAAAGAGTCACACATGAATGAGTGACTGAATAACAACAACTCAGTCTTTCCTTAGGCTGGAAGTTGGCAGTAGCAGTCACAAAGCCATGCTCTTTACCAGCCATGCCCTTGCTTGGTCTATGGACTTTAGACCATGTTCTTGGTTTATAGGCTCATTGGTTCCTCAACCCATGACAGATGAGAAGGAATTATGTCAAAGAGTGTAGGGGAACTATCGGAGTTTGTCAATTAATTTTTTTTTCATTTATTTTTATTAGTTGGAGGCTAATTACTTTACAATATTGTAGTGGTTTTTGTCATACATTGACATGAATTAGCCATGGATTTACATGTATTTCCCATCCCGATCCCCCTTCCCACCTCCCTCTCGACCCGATCCCTTTGGAGTTTGAATGCTCCTGAGAGCCTGGCTTAGTGCTGGGCATTCTCTTAAATCTCAGAAGAATGATGTTGTTACCTTTAGTCCATATTTTACAGGGATTGGAATATATTGGTAAGTGATAAACGATGAGAGAAGTGACAACCAGAGGTTGAGAGGGGCCAGAGAGAAATAAAAGTACATTGTAACTTGGTTCCCATCACAACTGTGGATCCAAAAGGGATTAACTTGGTTTATAAAGAAAGAGTAAGAAGGAGAGTTAGTAAAATGTTGGTGCCTAAAAAGAAATCAAATGTCTTCCTGTCAAGTAGAATGTAGAAGTTATATTGAATACATGCACACACACATGCATATATAACATATGCACACATATAATATGTACAAATAACAAGACATAGGTAAGTATAAGTATACTGAACAATTCTCTACTCTTAATTTCCATTCTTAAAGTAAGCAAATCCACCAGGTCTCTGGTAAATTACTTTGGCATCATTACTAACTTGGTAGCTATATATAATCTAGAGAAATTTAATTTTTCTGCAGGAATTGTTAGCAAGCTCAATTCCTTATAAGCAATACAAATCAGGGCACAAAATCCTAAGTGGACTCATTGACAATCAATATAGAAACATTTGACTGCCTAAAGAAAAATGGCAAAAATCATCGGGGGCTGAAATTAAACTGTTATGTTCAGTGCAGTCACTAAAAATTTAGTTCAACTGCTAAACTTTCCTGCAGACAACCAAATAGGTCTTTCAAAAAAAATTCAACTACTGTCTAATATGTAGAGATATAACTTCATAACTCAAAATTTTCTGCATTTTTAAAGAAAGCCATTGAACATTTATTCATTCTTACCTAGGGACTATTCATATTTTTAGGTTGTGGGCTCCCAGGAAGTCTTAATTCTTCTTATGTAAATACTATGAAACATCGGTATGTTAAAAACAAAAATAAAATCACTGAACATGAAATTCTGCAATATCTGAAATTAAATTCAGTCAGACATGACTGAAGTGAATTAGCATGCATGCAAGTCAATTATACTTCCATTTAAAAATTTTTAATATTAAAAAAAGTGTACATTCTTAACAGCGGAGTTTGCTGTTATTCTCTCCAGTTAATAAGCAATCTTGGAATTTTTGCAGTGAATGTTGAGGAGTATGCATCTTTTTAAATTATGGTTTACTTTGGATATATGCCCAGGAATGGATTTGCTGGAGAATCCCAGCGACTGCGGAGCCTGGTGGGCTACCGTCTGTGGGGTCGCACAGAGTAGGACATGACTGGAGCGACTTAGCAGCAGCAGCAGCAGCAGCAGCATAATAGCTCTATTTTCAGTTTTTTAAGAAACCTCCATGGTATTCTCCTTAGTGGCAATACCAGTTTATCTTCCCATCAACAATGTGGGAGGGTCCCCTTTTCTCCATATCCTCTCCAGCATTTGTTTTTAGACTTGCTGATGATGGCCATTTTGAACATTGTGAGGTGATAGCTCATTGTAGTTTTGATTTCTTTCTTTTTTTTTTTTTTGGTAATTAGTGTTGTTGAGCATTGTTTCATGTGCTTTTTAGCCATCTGTACGTCTTCTTTGGAGAAATGTCTTTTTAGATCTTCCTCCCATTTTTTGATTAAATTGTTTTTTAGATGTTGAGCTGCATGAGCTGTTTGTAAAGTTTGGAGATTAATTCCTTATTCAGTAGAACATGAATTTGAGCAAACTCTGGAAGATAGTGAAGGACAGAGGAGCCTAGCCATAGTCCATTCAAAGCGTTGAACCCTTAGGGACAAAACAAGAACAATTCCTTGTTTGTCACTTCATTTGCAAGTATTTTCTTCCATTCTGTTGGTTGTCTTTTCATTTTGTTTATGATTTCCTTTGCTATGCAGAAGCTTCAAGTGTAATTAGGTCTGATTTGTTTATTTTTATTTTCATTACTCTGGGATGTGGATCAAAAAAGATCTTGCT